TCCAGGGCCTGGTCTCTCTGGAGTCCATGAAAGGAGGGAGGTCTTCTATCTCACCATGACAGATCGCTTTAATCTTATGGAACTGTATTCCCAGTCCTTAAGTCGATGTCCTCTGAGAATCCACGATGGCACAGGCAGCCCTGAGAGTGAGTGCTGGTTCCCTTCCAGAGCGGTGCAGTAACACGGTGTCAGAGTGAGCCCCCACCCCCTGTCCCGCCCCAGGGCAGATCAAAGTGGAGCCTCCCCTCTGAAAGGAGCCCTGGTGGTGCAGTGGGTCAGGCATGGGCGTGTCCTCAGCGGCTCCCACTGGCCCCCTCTCACCATTGGCTCGGCCTGAGAGAGGAGAGGCTGCCCCCCCACCCCACCCCCAGTGAGACGCACACTCCCGGGACCCTGATCCAGAGGCACTGGGAGCTGGGATCCACTTGGGGACAGTGGGTTTGCCCCCTTGTTTTCGTCGACTAGCTGGCGCAATGGCACGATGGAAAGGTCTCAGGTCAGCAGAGACGCCAAACTGTGACAGAGAAAGAAGTGAGCACCTGCTGTCGGGAAAACAGACAGTGTGGGGGCGGGACCCCCCTCCTCTCTGTGCCTTGCAGCTTCCCGGGCAGCCTAGCACGCTCACGTGGCCAAGGGTGAGGGGCACAGGAGCCTTGGGAGCTGCCAACCTGGATACGGAAAGCAACACGGGCAATAGATCGCCCTCTTTCAGGGGGAGTCTTGGTTGAATGACTGTCCCTTGCCTGTTTTTGGCTTAACTAGTCTGCAGCACATGTGACTGAAGTTTTTCCAAGGACAGTCATGTCAACCGATGTTCTGGCACAAATGGAGCTGCCCTGGGACTGGCTCACAGTGGCCTAAGAGTGGAGGGCTGGCTGTCCTTCCAGCGGCCTCTCTGGCAGTGGTGCAGCAGAGCCCGACATGTGCAGCTGACGGGGCTGGCAGAGTCGTGGGCACTGTGGGACGACCCTCTCTCGTGGTCATGCTGCTCGGTAGCAGCAGGGCGCCAGCAGTCTCCTGACCCTTCACTAGGGAACGCTTTGCAGAGAGGGATAAGCTCAGAAAAGCAGAGGGACGTTGCGGTGGAGTTTTAGATACCGTGCTGTTGTGTGTACCCAGAAATTGCCCTTACGGAGGATCGCAAGACACTCTGTTAAGTCTAAATGCTGGAATGTTTTCCTAAATGTTGTTGAACAAAGCAAACCTTCTATCGCCATCACTCAGCCTACAGCCGATGATTACAAAGGTTGTCCTGTGTTAGTCATTACCCACCCCCCTTAAGTCACTTCTGACTCTGAGCAGCGATTAGGGGTTGCCAGGCCCCAAGTCTTTATGGGAGCAGAGAGCCCTGATGTTTCCTCCCAGGCAGCTGGGGGGTTTGAACTGCTGACCTTGTGGTGAGTAGCCTAAGGCGTACCTGACAGTGCCAGCAGGTCTCCTTGGCATGTGTTCTGAGGACGGGGCGACTAGGAAATGATGTTCGATGTGAACTCTTCACACACATATAAGAAGCTGAACACGTGCCTTTCTTCCCATGTGTGGGAGGGACCGACCATGAACAGGTGTGCCGGTGTGAGCACACGAGGCACCGTGTCTCCGTGGAGGAAACTTAAACACGCACCACAAAAGGACAGCAGTAACCGTCGAAGACATTTTTATGAACATGTTTGAAACCAAAGGAAAATGTAATTACAACCACAGATCCAAACCAGCCTGGTGCTGAGAGAGCAGATTGGCTCCTGGCCCCTGGGCTTCGGGAGAAACT